TCAATTGAAAAAAAAAAATTATAAAGCATAATACTATAATTCTATGCTTAAAATGTATTTTCTTGTGGCCGCCTGACAGCTACCTGTAAATCTGGCGCGACAGTGAACGTGTTAATAAGTAAATGTTGTTGAAATTATGTCGTGTTTTATGTCATTTTCATCAGAAAAATCTCACCAACATGTTAAAAAAAATTCCAGATGAAAAAAACGAAAAATTAAAAAAGTTGGTATTTAAATCGCTTGGTTGCCTGGACTCACGTTTCATTCTTATCTTTTATTCGCTGTCCTTGTCTACGTTCGTCAAACTACAAAGGCGGACGCGCGAGGCTCGAAAACGTAGTCCCTGACTCTACGAGTGGCAGGTTTAGCTTCCTTGCGGTCTGACACTTGTGGAGAATATACTGTATTCACGATTCTGGGTATCCTGGCTATTCATTTCTCTATCGTGTCAGATGTAATGTTCCTCCGCACCGTTTCTAAGATTTCCCACAAGTTTTCTTCTGACTTAGGACACGTTTCTCGCGAAGGACACAGCGAAGACGTATCTCACAAGTGTTTAACAATTTTAAGGGGTTAAATAATTAAATTATTCACAATTACACTTATTGTTTATAATTTTCGTGGGATAGGAAAGGTTCACAGAAAATGACAAGTGTTCTAATACTTTTGAGCGGCAGTGTATCTATATGATTTTATATATGTATATATATACAGGGTGTCCGAGGTTTTAACGGTCAAGCGTTGTCAGTATATTCCATGGGTTGAAATTAGAAAAATATGTTATACAAACATAGGTTTTTTGAAGCTCTATTGAAAAGTTATGGCAATAATAGAAAATTAAGAGAACAACAGCAGAATCACGGTTACTGCGATGTACATAATACAGAAATAGATCGTCAATATTTGCGCGATATTTATAAGATCGCGTACTGAATTGATACAAAAAATCAACGATGCATTTACCGAAACGAAGCGAAATAATAACGAAATTGGCAATCTTGCATTGCCATAAACGGTGGACATTTTTGAGATGGAGTATTAGTTACTTCTTGCATAAACAGAGTAAACGTAAATATTGCTGATCTATTGCTGTATTATATCGCTGTAACCGCGAGTCTGCTATTGTTCTCTTAATTTTGTATTGTTACCGTAACTTTTTAATAAAGCTTCAAAAGACCTACGTTTGTATAACATTTTTTTCTAATTTCAACCCATGGAATATACTGACAACGTTTGGCCGTTGAAACCTGAGACACCTTGTACATATGTGTATAGATACATAATCATATACCGTAAGTTTAGATTTTTCGGTTAGGAGGCCCGATAAGCGAGTACATTTAACGCCCGGAGCGTTTGTGAAAAGGCGGGAAGTTGGGACAAGAACCCCCTCGAGATTTCTCTTAACTGTTCGAACGCACAACAATTTCCAATGAATCCGTGGGTATACTTGCACATTATATGTTATATAATAACGTTTCGATTAGCCGCTATTGCGTAGCGTCCCCCGAGCAAACAACGAATGAAGAAGGTTCCACGAAAAAGGAACGGTAATTGATAGCGTCGCTATTATCACGAAACCAACACTAAAACGCGTGTCCCTTCGATCATTCATTTTCTCGTACGAATTCGCGTTAAACGTTCGCTATATTTACGTTCCGTTTAATCGATCACTTTTCAAATTACATTCGATTAATTCGCCTTGTTGTTCGTTCAAGTTGTCGTTCGAGGTTGACGGAGTTAAGGAAACAGGAGATCTGATGGTAATGTAGGGCGATGTAGGGGAAAATTGTGCGGAGATTGGTGAATTTAAGGATTTCCTTTTGCTTGACTTTTTGACTTTTTCCTTGGTGTGCTTCCACTAGTGAAAATAGTGTAAAGATTGATTAATTTAAGGAAATGGAAGACCTATTGGAACTAGGGGAAAATTATGTAGAGATTGAGAAATTTAAGGAAACGGAAGATCTATTGCAAAAGTATCGCGAACTAAGGGAAAATAATGTAGAAATTGATACACTTAAGAAAACGGAAGATCTCTTGAAAAACTACCGCGGACTAAGGGAAATGAAGTAAAGATCGATAAGTTTAAAGAAATTGAAGATCTCTTGGAAAAGTATCGCGAACAAAGAAAAAATGATGTAAAGATTGATAAATTCAAGGATTTCTTTCTCCTCGATTTCCTTCAGTTCGGAAGATCCGCTGAAAAAGTATCTCGAACTAAGGAAAAGTGTATAGATTCTGGTTTTCAATTCGATCGAGTCACGCGACAATTATCTGTACCGATGTAATAAGACCGTACGTTATCCTGGCGTCTGTGACACCGGTGTATTTCTTAATGAAGAAATATAGAGGGGAACGCGGTGGCCGTGCTAACAACGCGATACAACATCCGTATAAAAAGGTGAAAATACCGTAATACACCTTGTGCGTGCACCGTTGTATACGTATACGCTCATTTCCGAAGAATACGGCAGTCTTTTTTAATTAAAAGCCCACTAACTTTGCCTTACATTTCGCGTCAAAGGGAAAACCGTTTTCGTCCGCGCAGATGCCGCGGCAACGTTTTTTCACCGGGTATTTTTTACGTCGCGGATCATTTCGATGAATGTTTTCATTAGCACGAAATACAGTACGAACAATGCGCAAGTTTCGATAACAAAAAAAAAAAACAAATATATGTTCGAAAGAAGAAAATTTGAAATGGTCGTTACCTCTTTGTTTTTTTTTTTTTTCGGGTGCATCGTCTGCCGCTCTCCACGATCCATTTGCATAATTTCTGCAATTGCGATGTCCACCAATTAGCTAAAATTAACCATGTGCAACATCATCGCGCGCGGTTCCGTCGCCACCTACTCTACCTATACCCCCATTGAGTGGTTCCTTTGATAAATTCCGAATTAATACGCGAATGTCGTCGAACGATAACTGCGAACCACGTCACGTCACTGAACGATGATGTCACAGAGAGGGGAAAAAAAGGAGCAATTTTCGCGTACGCGTGATCGCGAAAGATAAAAGAAGGTATTTCTTTTTTTTTTTTATCTCGGAGGTTTATTAAAGATCATCTGTGGCTGTTTCAAATACAGCGATACACATATGAGCAATTTAGAAGCCAAAGTGGGTAACTCGTCGTGAAATCAAATTTGTGAAAAATTAAGCACCGTGCTTTGACACTGAAATTGGGAGAATATGAAAATGTGGAGTTAGTCATTTTGGTTTCTAAGTGGCTCGATTTAGAAGCCAAAGTGGGTAACTCGTCGTGAAATCAAATTTGTGAAAAATTAAGCACCCCTTTTTCATATTCTTGCAATTTTAGTATCAGAGCACATGCTTGGTGCTTAATTTTTCCTAAATAAAACAAATTTAATAAATTTCATTTCATGGATTTAGTCACTTTGGCTTCTAAGTGTCTAACATATCGCAAACAAAAGACAGCCGACTAAAAACAAGAAAAATTGACAAACACGTGGGTATTAAGAAAATAAAAATGCAAAACGACGAACAAAGCATGCGCGTTTATCTCGCCTTACATCTCGATTATACGCAAAATCGTTGGTAAAAAGGACCCGGAAGACGCGTTAACAGTTATCTCATGTTATTAAGTAAAACAAATTTAATAAATTTTATTTCACGGAGTTAATCATTTTTGCTTCTAAGTGTCTAACATATCGCAAACAAAAGACAGCCGACTAAAAACTAGAAAAATTGACAAACACGTGGGTATTAAGAAAATAAAAATGCAAAACGACGAACAAAACATGCGCGTTTATCTCGCCTTACATCTTGATTATACGCAAAATCGTTGGTAAAAAGGACCCGGAAGACGCGTTAACAGTTATCTCATGTTATCAACCCTTCTAAACATCTCGTTACTTCCACAAGGATACAACGTTACCTTCGTTTTACGAACTTTTCTTTTTTCTTCACCACACTCCCCCCTCGTGTATTATACATAGATGGGTATATACCGAGGGAAATCTAAATCGAATCGCGACAACACATATCCTCTCAGGAAACACTACATACACGCGAACTGGAAATTGATTAATTGACCCGGATTAGAAACGAATCAAAGGCAAATTGCGTGGAACCGCGTTAATTATCGCGTTCAACTAATAAAGATCCGTGTAACGAAGTAATTCGAAACGAAACAAGCTACGAATGTCGAAGGAAGAGAAGAAACGTGTAATTTACGGTAATCTCTATCGTAGAGAATCGGTTTGTTTCGTTTGGAGAAAAAAAGCTGCGTTCCTTGATACCCGTTGCCCTCGACGAATCGATCCCTCGTCAACAGACACGTCTCGTCCACTTAAATTTTTCAACTTTCTCTATTGTACGCGTCCACACACCTCCGATACCTTTCTATCGAGCGAGGATTGTTAAGCGTTACGCTCGCGAAACGTATTCTCCGCTCGCAAATAACGAAAGAGACCAAGGGGATGTCGAAAAGGGCAAGCAGAGTCAGCGCAAATTGGCTGATACACCTACCAATATCATCCTCCTTTTGCCACCATCAAATTGAAAATAAATGGAGATCTGATATTGATTTTTAATGAAATCCTCTCGTTCTCTGCCCGGTTGACAAGATGATCGTAGATACAAGCGAATTTCAGTGACCTTTCGTTTTACCAGTTATGTTACTAGAGATCTCTATCAACGTTATTATCGATCTTTTTCTTTTTTTTTCTTTTTAATAAGATCCCCCTTCCTTTTTCTTTTTAACCCTTGTGTCAGTAACCAGAATTGTCCTCTACTTTATCGTCCAATTTTAGCAGTTTTCTGATAAGAAAATTCTGAACTTGAGGCAAACACGTATAGGAAATGTGCGAAATAAGAACGATCTGGCCGGATATTTCAATCGGAAGATGAAATATTTTAAGTGAGAATTATGCAAAAGGGTACCCGGTTGTTCACATAAGGGTTAATAAATCTCTCTCTTTTTTTTCTCTTCCCGATATTTTCTAGACTTCTAAATCAATAAGAATCGTGAAAACTGTTCACAGGCTGTGGTACTCGTTCAACGATGCATGATCATCCTTGCGATTCTTCTCTGCTATTTTCACGTTCGGAGCGAAAGTGTCGATTGCGAGTACGTATACTTTTCCCTTTTTTCTAATCGTATGAAATAACAGTTGGAGAGAATATTTGTGTTGTATCGAATTACCAGAAGAAATGTGAAAACTAATTGTGTGTTTTTTTATTTCGATAGATTGTATCCGTTTCATCGTACGTGTAGGGGTACAATGTCGAGGAAACGCGCAATGTTTCCGACCGTGTACGGATCAGGCTGCGACGGTAATAAAGGGAACTTAAACTGCATTAGAGAATTCGAGGAAAGACGTCGCATTCCTTACATTCCGCTGTCAAAATCCAAACTGATAATTGCTTTACTCGACGACGTAAGCTATTTGTTCGACTTTCAATCTACCATACCGACAGATAGATCCGAATGAAAAATCTGAACGACAAAACAACGCTGAACGTTTCTTCTTAAATTGTTGCAGGATCTGCAGAAGGATATTACGCGATCTGTCCGTCACAAGTTGAGGAACGATCAAATGGACGAACGAAAATCAGCTTTAATGGAGAACTTTTTGTCAGAATTGGAATCATCGGACGCCTATTAAACGAACGAATTGATCAGAAAATAAATATCTGCTCGGCTCCTCTGAACATTTTTCTTTTATTAACGAAACTCTCGAGATGATGTACCAATATCGCCTACCTTTCTTCAACACTCCACCTACGCGAAAATAAAATTTCCCCGTCGTTTTTCCTCTTTCTCTCTATTTGTCCGACTTCTCTGTCATTCGTGTCTTTCGTTTCTTTCTTTTTCTGCGCTTGATCACAATTGTTCCTTCGTTGTTTCTAACCAAAGTTACAGTTAAACAATTGTATCTACGTTATTAACAATACATACATGTGCTACAGCATAACAAGAAAATACATTTACAATTGGATTGGAACCCCTTGGACAATTCTGTTGAAAAGAAAATCAGTACGAAATGAAGATTTTTTTCAGAATGTCATTGCACAGTTTAAACGATCGATGTATTATACATTATATTACGGTATACGTAGCATAGCCACTACTATCTGGTAAACTCTTGTACATAAATAAATTAAAAACGAGTAACACAGACTGCTTTCGGTATGTTTAAAGAGGGACTATATTTAACGGTAGTTAACGAAATGATTTATCTCTAATATTAAGATATTTCGTACGCTGTTTATGTATTTAAAAATATATCACCATGTACCGAAGTACCGGTAACGTAATTTGCAACAATCTGAATTTTACAATTGTTATAATAAATTATTGTATTTGTGTAATTCTCTTTGAAATTATATCTACAGTACTGTAAACGAGAAGAAGAAAAATAAGAAACTCTAAATTTATATTTAGTAATTTGGTTATCAGTTCACAGGAGTATGCGAATAAAACACAATTACCAACGATAAGAGAAATGAACAAATAAAGGTATAAAAGGATAATTGAACTAACTGAACATTGTCAGTGAGGGAGTGGTGGCTGGATGGTTGTATTATTTCAATTTGTACATTAAGATTTTAAAAAATATTCATTATAAAAATCAACAATGTATAAACAACAAGTATATCAAGAATCGTTTCAAAATAAGGTGTATACTGACAATCATCGATGAAAAATGGAAACATAGAGACGTAACATGTATACAGGTATATTATGTAATACGCAAAACAATTGAAGAAAAATAAACCGGTCCTCTTTCATGAGACAAAAGATACATGTACGATTGATTAATTGCAAATTTTTATTCTTTTTCATCATACAAAATCACGTGTAATCGTTCATTTTAATTTCGCATTCTTGCACATTTAGTTGTATGTAACTTACACGTGCATATTTATATAGTTTTATATTTCCATCGCACAGTGCCGAACGTGTGAGAAGTTTAAAAAGTAACCGTTCGTATTAATCTTATGTGAGAAAAAGTTGAGTTAGAAATTTTTAAAACGTAAATGAAATAAACTGTACTTTATTATATTGCTTAAAAAAATGAATTTGGTTGCAAGATTAATTCTAAACTACAGATGTAATCATACGAAAGTAATACTTTTAAGGTTATTTAAGGGGACACATTGCACAACATGGACTTCAGATATATTTCAAAGAATTCCAAGAGAGTATAAATACTTTCTTCCATGCTGTACATATCGAACCATTGCAGATAATAAAAGTCATCTGCATAATATTCCAGAAATAGAGGCATATGTATCTGAACATAAAATTCTGCATTCGCTATTTGAAAATTCTGTTCATTATAAAAATAATATTATACCGCCTATTACAACAGTACAACAAGTTAGTTCTGAAGAATTAAACCATTTCTACATTATAGATTGGGAATCTCAGACTGCACAGGATATTCTCACTGCTATTAAAAAATTGACATACTGTCATATACGTGGCTCAAGTTTTGAAAAATCACTCTATAATGATATCTTGCAGGCCACTATTCCAAAACTTCCTCAATTCAATGATCAGATGATAAAAATATTCATACAATGTTTAATTACATTATATGATAAAGTAGGTGATGTAAATGTGTATAGAAAACTTTTAAAAGCATTGAATAAAGAATGTGTAAATCGATTTTATCCATCAGATGTTGATGAAATGTTATTATTAAGTGATGCATTTTATCGGCTTAATGACCATGATTCTGAGTATAAATGGCGTGCAATGAGAAAATTATGTTTCAAAGTTCATAAACTTTCTGGAAAAAATTTAGTTCAGCTACTGTTTCTTTTAAATTTGGTTAAAGGAGGTACTACATCGTTCTTAAATATGTTTGAAATTGAGTGCCATCTAGAGGAATGCATGTATGAGCTTAGTGGAAATGAAATAGGTATAATAGCAAGAGGCTTTTTCTTAAATAAAAAAAAAGTTAGAAGTAAAACTTTGATGCCAAAGATATTAATCAAAGTTCAACAATGTGCTGATACTATGGATAGTACTACTTTGGCATCAGTTATGAAACTTTCAAGGTATCAAAATAACTTATTATATAGAAATAAATTTTTACAATAAATATATACACATATATGCATATATTATAGATACAGTGACTGTATACACTGTATACCTGAATTTCAAGATATGCTGAAATCTGTACACAAAAAAGTACCAGAGTTATCGTTAAAGTGCTTAACACATATAGTACATACATGTGCAAGCTTACGTGTATACGACAAAGTTTTAATAGACAGCATTCTTGAAAGGTAAGTTAAGTAACAGAAAAATAACAATAATGTATACATACACATAAATAAAAATGCTTCCAATTCAGAACAGGAAATGAACTGAAATCCATAAGACTGAAAGATATAGAAAGAATTCTTTATGCTATATGTACACTTACTCCTTCCACAAGTTATTATACAGATATATGTCATAAGTTTTTGAATGAAATAACATCAACGTTTCAAACAGATAGAGCAATTGAAATTGAGAAGTAAGATTTTCTTTTCTTATCAAAATTACACTATGTATGATAAATATAAACAATATTAGATATATAAATATGAATTATTTAGAAATTAATGAATTTATCATACATTCAATGTAGGTATTCAGGATCATTGGCACGGATTTTAATATTTTTAGCAGTTAAAGATATATATACACCAGAATTAACGCAACATGTATTTGATCCTGTATTTGTACAAAAAATATATAAAAACAACCTCAAGTTACTGTCAAATGACTTGTTATTTTTACATTGCTGTATTCAGATAGATATGCCTCATTATGAAGGTCCACTTTTTGCAGAAAACATATATGAATATTTAGTAAAGGTACAACATAGCATATGCATTTAAGATTTTGGTAATTAAATATATTAAAATAAAAAGCTATCTTTACTATTATAGACATATAACTGTAACGATGATGTACACAGAAAAGACAACCGTATAAAATTACGGAACGAAGTTGTATTTCTATGCAAGGTATGTCTGCAAAATCATATATAAAATAAACTCTCAAAGTAACAAGAGTATTTAATATGTTAAATCTACTATTCCAGAACAAATTGGGAATAAATGTATACATTGATTACATTTTACCTCATCACAGCCATAGACATATTGTTCTGGGTCTAGATGAAAATAACAAATGTATTGATGTTGAACCTATCTTATCAAAAATGCCACTAGGCACTATTAAATATGTAAACAGTGATGAATTGAAGAAAATAAAATGGAAAGTTTTATATATATATCCCGCACTAGCAAAAATACATGGCTATGATGGTTACAATGGAAATCTATGCAAAAGAGTTAGTCACATTAGAACTGTTGGATATACACCACTTCCAGTAATATCTCAAATTATTGTCTATAGTATTATATTATAAATAATATTCTAGTTTAGATATACTAATGTAATGATTATTTTTATAGATATATGAAACAAATTGGGAGTCCTATACTGAAC